GATTAGACTTTTTGACCCCTATATTTTTGTCCAAAATTTTAAGATCAAATATAAAAAAGAGTTATTTTTGACATGTTTCCTTTCCCTCTGTGCTTGCAGTTACTGTGTGTACCTGCGGGTAAAACAGGCCAGTGCAGCGTGTAAACTCAAACTGTGGAGTGCTCATCTGGTGAGAGAGAGGCTGGTCTGTGCAGAGTGTCAGAGCGATGCCATGTCAAAGTCAGACCGCTGTGGAGGCGACGGCCTAGAGAGCACCAGGTAAACCAAACAGCTAAGTTATTGGTAGTGGGCCTGGTTTTATTATAGCTGAGCCATCTGCAGACTGGCTGGAAGCTGAATGCGGTTAAAGGTACAGTATGTTGAATGATGAGCTCAATTAATGGATGTCTATGGAATCAAGTAGCAGCTCCTTCTGAATGAAGGGAAACACCTTACACAACACAGATGGTGTAAGACTTTGTGTTTGTTAGCTAAACACATGAATATTCATTTTCTGTGGAAATCGTAAGGGAAATCAAAGTTTTTTATAATCTAATTTCTGTGTTAGTTGTGCAACTTAAAAATATGTAAATTACAGCATGAGTTAATTTGACAGGGCATGAATCTGTGAAGTGTTAAAACAGAGCTGCTAATCAATCTCATAGACAACTGATATAGGGTAACATAACATATCCATTAGATTGGCTGACATTGGATAATTTGGAAAAAGTAGTTCCCCCAAAAACTGAAGTGGCTATATTGTTGACAATATCCAAGATACAACGAGATTAAAGCCACTATATGTGGAATTATAGGCTGAAAGCAATTCGGTATACTTTTTCACTGTCTCTTTGTTTCTACAAATCAAAACTTATACCATCAGAATAATTTAAAATATGCTATAATCACATTAAAATCGCACGCAAAGTGGATTTTAATAACGCAAATGAAACATTTCAAATACTTTTCCAATGTTGTTACTAACTGTTTCATGTCTGATATGGCCCTTTTTTCCCTAGAACCTTCTGGGCAGCAGCTTCAGTCCCGGGCTGTCATGGCTCCTGGGTGCGAGAGTCATCCTCTGAGGGTTGCCGGTGTCCTCCCTACTCCGTGCTCTTTGTGTGAGCCGACAAGATTTCCCTCAACACCTCCTGCTAACTGTGGAAAGCCCTGCCAGCCAAGCCAGACCCCTCCGAAACAGATTACTGGATGGGTAACTCAAGGAGATCAGCAACATCCTGCCACTTTTTCCTTTCACCTCATACTCTGTACTGTATAAACTATTGCTAAGCACACAGAAATTCCTGCATTTAATTTCAGATTTTACAGCCACATTATGTACTTATTCTCCTCTAAAGCACAGCAACATCTATTTGCCTTTTTACCTCTGAATCTTTGCTATCTACCTCCATCAATGCAAGTGCATTTGTTAATGCATAATGTATAAATATATAAATATATTATTTTGCTTTATACATTTTCTACTTTTTATTGTTTATGTGTTATGTATATGTGTCTATATAGCTACACTTATTTGTACCCAACTGTTTAAACACCAGACAGAAGTTGCTGCACCCAGTTTAAGCCCAAATCCAAAGGGTCGTAAGTCACCTGCAGGTGGGAAATGCTGAAACTGGTTCATCCAAATTATATCCATTAAGTCAATATATCTGTGTTTTACAGTTTTTGTCTATTAATATTTCTTTTCAACAAAAACATTTATACCGGCAAGTTAAGTTGAATATCAGGTATTGATTCTCAGGTGCTGAGATTTGTGTCTTTGTCTCCCATCAAGCTTCCGCTTTCATGTCTTCTGATGGTCAGTCACTGATGTTTTTAGTAGTGTAAAATCACTCATAGCTGAAATCAGTCCCATCTGTTTAGACTTAAAATTGTTGGAGAGGAAAAAGAGCCATTTAAGAGAATTTCACTGTGGTTCTCTCTGTCCTCTGTGTCCAAGACTGAAAAAAAAACTGCGTCATAGCTATGTTTCCTCTCACCCCCATCCCTTCTCAGAAACCCTGTTAACTTCACATGGGAGTTTTATCAGCAATCATCCATTATAACTATCACATTACTAGAGTGCCGTCATCTGCAATTGTTGTTCTCTGGTTCAGTACGCCTTCCCGCGTTTCTTGTACTGCTGGTTTAAGAGACAAGTGTAGTCCCAGTAAAGGGCTTTTCTTCTCTGGAAAGCTGTGACTTTCTCTTTCTCTCCCATGTCTGTGTTTGTGTGTTTATTTATTATAAAACAAGTGATGATTTTATTAGTGCAGCACAGCATACTCTGTACACTGTCCATTAGTGAAAATAAACAACTATACTGTCATATCCGCCCCTCTTGTCATATTTTCCGATTTGGGTATTTCATTGCATCATTGCATTCAGATTAAGCACCACTTAGAACAGTTACACAGACCACCATTAGCATTTCTGACTTCTCCAACGAGCACAGCCCTGCTAAGTATATCCCTCTGCTTGACCAGTGTTTACATGCAGCATTTCACAGTTGAAAGAAGAGCGCCGTTGAACATACGTAACCTAATGCAGACATGTACCCATCAACATATTTCTGTTGCATTCTTGACATTTTTCTTCCTGTGGTGTAAAGGGGATGACGACAAGCAAAATGACAACTAATATGTATAATCATGTCTCATTCTCCTACAATTTGGGTTTTGTTTTTGTGATGTCACTGCCAGAGATGAGGTGTAGACAGGTTAAACACGAGGCCTGAGACACTGGACAACTTACATAATCTGAAAATACATCTGTCACTCGCAGTTTTTTGTTTTCACAGCAGCTCTGGACAATTTGAAAGCCAGTTTGTCTCCTTCTTTATGTGATATATGGACTAGGTAAGTGAACATGGAGGAGGGGATGTCTAAACCTTGACTCTGACCCTGAAAGTTGTTTGTAAAGCCATGGCTCCTTGTCCTTGCTGACAGTTTTAAACCATGTCATAACCTTTAATGTTTTTCATTTTCTCTTGCTTGTGCAAAACCAACTGATGCATCCAATTTATTGCTATTAGTCAGGCTATTTACTGTACAATATAGCTGTTCCTCACAAGCCAGGGTGTTAGCAGGCAGGTAATGAGACTCAGCAGAGAAGTACAATTTAGGATGGATTTGAGTATGTGTCCCCTATTTCGGTTTTAAATTGAGAAAATATTGAAGGCCACTCATTCTCTTTATAAATGATGGGAATTTTTGTCTGAAAAATGCAACATGACGACCTAGGATTGAACCAATCAACACCTCCCACATTAGTCCTTTGAGAAAGATTCATACTCCTGGCTACTTCCATGTGTTTCATCTCGGTGGCACTTGAACTTTACCTTCTCCATTAATCTGTCCAGCCACCCTCTCCCTTACCCTGCACTCCTCCCTCCCTCCCTCCTCCCTCTCACCAGCTCCCTACCAAAGTCCCCTCCGTCAGCACAACTCTTTATTTTCTCTTACTACAACAGTGGCAATAGAGTGCTGTCAGCCTGACAGTCCATCCCCTCTGAAGCAGGCTTTACCCCCCTGGCTGCCCTGCCTCTGCTGCTAACCCGCTTTCCAAAGAGCAGGAAGGCCCATCTCTGGCCCAGTGCCTGATGGGCTCCGACAGCAGTGTGTTCTGGGATTACACCCGCTGAAAAGGGGGGCATTCCAGCACCGGCGGCCTTTGTCACAGCACGGCCACTGTTTGCTTTTGACAAGACAGCTGTTCAAAGCCCTCCCGGCCCCCACGGATACCGTGAAGGGAACAAACCCAGGGGTGACTTCCGTTTAATGGTGGTGTGGGTGCCGCCACCACCTGAGGTCGCTTCGACATTATATTCATCCCCAGTACAGCCCCAGTTTGAGCATCTAATGTCACATTCACAAATATGTTGAACATTTCAATCCTGCAGCTAGAGAAATACCCCACCCCCCCAACTCGATGCATCTCCTTTCCTAGACCCAAACAAAAATCCCACTGATTTATCTGGATGACTGCTTTGTCTGCTGAAACATCCTTGACTTCTCTCTTCCTTGTGTGTGTACACCACATGTGCAATAGGAGGAGTCACTGTGTTACAGTGTTGTAGCTAGGAATTATGTGCCCCATATTCACCCCTTTAGCACCATTATCATGTGTCAACCCATCCACAACTAAAACACAACTGAGTGCATTCTTTTACTGATCAATTAATGGACCAATCACTACATGAAATACGTTTTTTGGACACTCTTAGGACTATTGCTGTTTAACACCTACTCTATATATTTTTGAGAGGGTTTGGAACAGTAGCATTCAACCAAGCATTTCTTCTAATAAAAATAGAATATATCTACAAATACATGCTTGAGAACTCACAAAAATTCTTCTAGTTCAGACATGCAGTGGTCTTATTCAGCTTGGGGCCCTTAGTAGTTGGGACCCCCATTTCCCCCTCTGTTTCCCCCCAATGTTGTGTACATATGTGTTTTTGGGAAGTGTGTACTGTAATTAGCAAGTCATCCTAATGAGGGCCTCTGTGGGAGCAGCTGGTCCAAAACAGAGGAATGATAATGAATAGACACCCAGACATGAGGACCTGAGCTACTCACAGCTGGTACGGAGCCAGTATAGTAAACACACACACACACAATGATGATCATATTGAAAAAAACAAAACAATCATCAAAGTCTTGCTTTTAAGGATTGTGCATCATTACAAGGCAGAAAAAAATAGGCTAAAACTAAATTTACTACATGATTTTGGTCTTTCGGAGAGGAGAGTTATGGTATACTCAGTGTGTAGTTAGTTTCAACAGCAATAAATCTACTTGGGTTGTAAAATGACACTAGTTTCATCTAAAAGATATCACAGTTATAACACAATACATAAAAAATGAAAAGATACTGTGCTAACATGCATCATCTAATGACTGATTATCAGTATCTCTCTGCAGGAGCTCATTCTACTCTAGAAATGTGGCGTCACCTTGTGGTGCTTTTGACTTCCTGCTCTACTTGAACAGAAACACAATTTATAAAACACCTGAGACTTCCCCTTATAAATGTTTTTATTGAGTAACTGAGTATGTGGCCTTGATTAGAATACATGATGTACATGGCAAAAATTAAACCTTGTGACCATAAATCCTTACCTTAATTTATACAAAACTTAAATGTGGTTCATCTACTCATTCATACATTTCTCCCAGGGAGGATGTATAATAATAATAATGGGGATATTCCTTCAGTTTTGAGTTGTCATATTCACAGCTAGCTTGTTCACATTATGTATGCTGTATAATCATTCATTCAATCACATTCTGCAATACAAACAAATTGTATAAAGCTAGTGAAAGCACTGAGGAGCATGAACAACTAATCAAACAAAGTGAAAAATCTAATGGTGAAAAATACTAGTGGAGACAGAAAAATGGCACAGAACCAAAAGTTAGTCTACTGTACATACAAATGATCTGTAAGGCAAAAGTGACTTGAGAAGACATCCAAAGTGTTTTGTACATACAGGTCCAGGAATTAGAGTTAGCACTGACATATGAATCATACACACAAAATATTCCAGTTTCTCTATCTGTCTATATACCAAATTATTTATTATTAATTGTCATGTCATGTTTTGCCTGAATGCTGAGCAATAGTAGCCATTTATACGTCCTTGGCAATTAAGAAAAGCTGATCAAACTGAAACTCTAATCATCTAAACCAAGGGAAATTCAACAGACTACATTCAGACAGCTTGGAGATGATAGAGAGAACGAAAAGATTTTACCTGGACAAAGACGGTCTCTTATATCTAATACACACATGGAATAGAGTATTCCCTTCAAAGCACAAACAATTCAGTGAAGTGGCAGGAAGAATCTCTCTGCTAAACTTTGACTTATGGGCAAATCTGAAACAGTATTTCAGTCATTTAAGATGAAAATAAAATGGATAAAAAAGATGTTCACCTGCTTATCTAACAGAGTTCCAATCCTTGAAAACAATAAACAAAAAGAACACATAGGTAATTGAACTGAGGCCAAGATGGAGAGTCGAGTGGGAGGATGACCTGTTGCTGTCTTATGTCTCTGTAAAGTGAGTTCAAGTCTTTGTTTTATTTGAGGTTTTTAATCTGTTGGTTTGTGTTGTGGATCTTGAGATCCATCTTGTCCACTTTATTCAGCAGAGAATCAAGGGAGTCGTCCTGGTTCTCAATCTCAGACTGGAGACCAAGACCAAGGTTCTTCAGTCTGCTCAAACCATTGCACATCTCATCTACAGGAGGTCATTCAAAAAGGACATCAATTAAACTGTGGATTGGTAGATAATACTTAAAGGGAACTGTTTTTGTTCTTTTTACCTCATACATAATATAACATAATATTTTACACCTAACTCAGAATGTACATTGCTATTTTAGATTAACCAATGGATATTTTATGGTTATACTTTTGGAAGAACAAAACATGTCATTGTAATGGTGTCTTGATACAAGGGAAATAGATGAAAAATGAAATAGAATATATTAGAATAGAATTATCATGTAAACTTCATCAAAAGCTTTGATGTCATCCCCTTGTGCCTCTTCTCGTGACTGCACTTTATAAAACTGTATATTACTGTTTATTATAATCAAGTAGAAATAAAAGGAGATTCAAACAGAAATGTTTCTTTACCTAAATTACTGTCGAGGGTTTGGTGAGCCTCCCTGAGGTGTTTGTTCTGAGGGTATCCATTCTGTCTCGAAGAGCTGTCATCTACTGATGCGGCAGCTCCAAATCCTGGAACATAGAAATCAGAAATGGTGGCAGCCAGTTTGTGGTATGGTTATGGCATGCTTAGGTTCTTGTGAAAACTCTTACCTCCTGTATCCAACTTTCTTAGGTTGGGGTGGCTGGCTTGGTACTTATCTCCATGTTCTTTGCTGCTGGACAAGGCGGTCTGTAATCTGAGAAAGTCAGATAAGCATTATTTGACCGTTTAGTGAAGGACAATGACGAGAGGCTGGAAATGGCAAAAGCACAAATTTTATGGCAGCATTACTCAACTACGAGTAATGTAATCGTTATAAAGGCTTTGTTATAAAATCTGATCTCAACATAGAAATGATTTATATGTGAAGACCTGGTGCTGAGGTAATGGATCACAGAATGAAGATATTAAACTTATCTAACAGTGTCTGTCTGGTTGTAAGTTACTCTTCATAAGACTTCCTCACACTGTAGGTAAGAGGTGACCCTTACAACACAAAGAAATATACCAATATCATGGGTATACTAAAAGGAATAGAGAGACTATAAAATATCTGCCGGCAGAGGTGAGCTGAGCTGGTACTCTGAGAGTTGTGTCCATCACAATTCACAGAGCCTGCTACGTAACTGACTGTTCAAAAAAAGGTTTGGGGTGGAAAATACTGCCCATCTCTCTAAACTTGGGTGTGTACATCTGAGCCTAAGGCCTTTCGGTTTTCGTCCGACAGAACCTATTGAGTAAAGTACAACCAAAGAATATCTGAGCAGGTGGTGTAAGGAGGACCCTATACTGCTCCTCGTTAAATTTACCTTGTACAAGTGATGAAAAAGATGGATTATATCAGAACTGACTAATTTGAGATGATTAAAGGGGTACAAGTAAAGGACAGAAGAAAATATAAGACATGTAAACTAAACCCTTAACTCTCCGTTCCATGTGGCAGCCCCCTCCCTCTGACATCCCTTCATACATTAATGTACGTGTACAGGTTTGTTTGTGATAGGAGTGAAAATAATTCTCCAAGAGGGTTTGATTAAGTATGCCTACTACTATACCCTAAAACTGAAGATCATAAAGTGCGTTTACAAGGTCCCGCCTGTCATCACACATGTATTGAATTAGGAAGATGGAGTCGTACACGTATCTGAACAATGACTGTGCACATCGCGTAGAGAATGAAAGACACAGGGCCGTTCACACTGCGCTTAGCCCGGGCTAAAAGCTTTCTTAGTAACTTCTTAGCACCAGACTAAGACTAAGAACGCTTTCACACTGGCACAATACTGGCATATCGTAAAGTGGACTAAACCTGATTTGAGCCTAGGCCTTGCTACTACTGAGTAGGGTGAGCCCCAAGTTGGCAGAGCTATCTCCTGAAAAACGACTGAACACAGCGTTAAAACGTGCCAGTGTGAAAGAGCAAAAGTAAACAGAATATGAACATTAGTCACATGTTCCAACTTACATTTAACTGAGGGCTAGCAGATGTGTAGTGTGAACTGTATAGCCCTGTGCTTAGGTTAACTGTGGGTTAACAATGTGTGTATTTGAAAAGCAGTTAAGTTAAAAAAAAGCCCTATGGTACTATTATGTCTTAAGACTCCTCAGATCTGAATAAAATTTGTACCGAACTGAAATGATCTTCATTCAGTGATTATAGGCAGAGTGTCAGAGAGAGAGAGGGTCAAAGTTATGATTGCCTACTCGCCTGAAAATGTAAGAAACTGACCGTGTTGTTTATTGACTTGTTTGTGTTGACAGAATTGTATGTTTTGATTGAATTATTTAAAGTTTAGTCATCCTGCACACAATCTCTTCTCCCACCTTCCATCAGGGAGCATCCCAACGCGTACATCACGTTTCAGGGATAGTTTCTACCCCCAGGTAATAAGGTTACTAAATGATAGCACAACAGGAAGGAGGGCTAAGGTCTGAGCTTAGTTACTATGTTTTGTTTTGTTTTTTTTTGCTCTTGGATGTTTTAAATGTTTACTTTATGATTGTTAGTTATATTATTTATTGATTGACTGGTGCTGAGAGAGTGCACATTGTATTTCATTGCTGTGTACCCTGTACTAAATGCATGATGACAACAAAAACTGAATCTGAACTAAAAGAAAAGCTCTATCCAACTAGGTATCCAACTAATTGCACTTTTTTACTCTAAATTCAACTACAAATAATAAAATACAAAGAACTAATAATTTCTTCTGAAAGTAGAAGAAAAAACCATATAGTGGCAGCATAAAAGCCTCGATACTTCCAGCTTTATTTTCACACATTAAACTGAGAACTGAAGCATCAAAAAGGTCCATGTGTAATTTTTAGGAGATCTGACTGCAGAAATGGAATATAATATTCAATAAGATGTTTCCATAGTCGCAAATCAGCCGAATATAGGAATAGGAATAGTTATGGTACATTAAAATTAGCCGTTTTTATCTACAGATGCTGCAGTCGCCTTTCATGGAGTCTCCATGTGAACCATCATATTTTACAGTAGGGCCCAAAAAAGACACTGGCTGTAGATTGGACCTGTTCACATTTTTTATGACCACTTGAAGTTTCTGCTTACACAGTTCACAAGTCACAAGTCATCATTCAAAACGACGCGAGAGGTTGTTCAGTTTTGTTGTCATCTACAGCTTTCACTCTGATGCCACTAAATCCGGTAGCCCACAAGGATCCTTAAGTATCAACCTAAACTGTATTACAGGTAATACGAATCTCGAGTCTATGAACATAGCATTAAAAAATAAAAATAAAATAAAAAAAAAAAATAAGCCATGTGACACATGAGGCTCACATATGAGCTCAACTTAGCAGGTGCATCAGTAGGCCCAGGCTTCATTCAAGTTTTTACGATTTTAAGTATGCTGACAAAAACGTGAGCCTGCTGCTGTCTTTGCTGCAAGATTTGTCTTCGGGAAGGAAGCTTGCTGTCGGTGAAATGGATTTACTTATTGAAGCAGTGCACAGCTCCATGATCAGAACCATGAATGTGGCCGCGCACTTTATGTGATTGAATTGCCCGTTTAATGTTGTAACCAGGGATTTAACTCTGCTTTTAAAGCCTTCTCCTGAATCTGATCATCAAAAGTGCTCACATAAAATGAAGGGGCATTCAGTCAATCTCAGCTAAAGTCATGCCATAAGTTCCGATTCACTCACCTTAAATGTGATCTTATCAGCCGGGTGTTGAGAACTACAATGACGCATGCGGTATGTATGGCGTTGACAGCGCGGAATCCTTACTGGACTTTGTTTCGCTGTTTAAGTGCTCCTGGTTGTTTCTCCTCTCCGTGCACCGTCCTGTCTGCTGCTCTGACATCCAAGAAAACACAACCCACTAAAGCTGAACCGAAGCCGCTTCTACGTCACTTCCACCTCACTTATTAAAGGGATCCTTTTCGGCAATAAAACGGGAAAGGCAACCCAGCCGGATGCATTAGAGTTAATCCAACCCGGGAAAAAAAGAAAAAACACTCAGTCAATTTTACATTCACGTGTAAAAATAGCGTAGTTATCCATGGATTATTCTATTTTTTCTCTACAGTGGTTAACAACGCTGCTTTGTCGTTGTGTCCATGTGTGATGACTAAGGGGAGATAATACTGAATTATTTATTTACTGCTTACTAAGTTTAACAGTTCAATAATTTCTTTATTTAAATGACCTACACTTTAAGTTTGTCTATGATAAGTGTTGGTTTAAACATAAGCAGGATAAGATTAGGAAAACTGGTTGTAAAGTAGTGGCACCTAAACAAACAATAATGATGCGAACTAGAGAATGTCTAACAGTTGAGTTTGTGATCAATGAACTCAATGTAGACATTTCTAGTTCTAGTTACCAGAGTGTGGTAGAGCATATAGAGAGTTATACATTAGTTAAAACATGCACTGTGACTAGC